TTATTATTGTTATTATTATTATTATCATTATTATCATTATTATTGTTATCAATGTTATTATTATTTCCATCATGAATTATTAGAGATGCTTGGAAAAAAATGATCTATAGTTCCCTCCAACTCATTATTCTTTCAGTTAAGTGAATTAAGACTTTGTGAACAGTTACTGCTTTATTCTGTCATTCCTGATGACCATAGAAATGGTGAAAGTCCACAGATATTATCCCTCTAAGAGTTTCTCCAGGTGTTTTTTTTTCCTCTGAATTTGGTTACAACAGAATGAAGGGCATCAGAGTATAGTGCGCCCAGCTAGACATGAATTGCATTAATATTACAGGGTCATTTTGCTGTATTCAGGGTTTAATCTTAGCCTTCTACAGACAAGTTTGTTCCTCTAAATGCAAAACACATTTTATCGTTTTTTAAAACAAACTTATAAAGACTGCCAAGAAACAGCTACTAAATCTAGGGAAACATGACAAACAAGTCAACTAGACTGTGTACTTCACATCATTGAATATATTTTAAAAACATGGTGGCTAAATCAAAGTATCACTTTTGGAGCATAAAGTCGCAAGGTCAGTTTCCCATTTCTAGTGCCCGAGAAAAGATCAGGCCACCACATTACTTCCAATTCTATGGTTGCTCGTCCCTCTCAATTTCCAACAACCATTTTAATTTACAGGGTGGGAATCGTGCTTGATTTCTTACCCCATGCTCTTTCCTTGGCCGCCTGTAAAGCTTGTTGAGAGTTTAACAACTACAAAATAGTACTACTTGCAGCAACCTCCATATTCCCCCGATAGCTTTTCTTTAACTCTAATGGTACAGAACTTTGATGGCTCAGACCAGAAATAACATCATTCACTCTATGATCCCTGTGATAAAAAAAAAACTTTGGATTTTTCTCTCCATACAAGGGGCCGCAAATGCCATTTTTCCCTCGCACTGCTTATAAAAACATTCGGCATGCTTCCCAACAAAGCTTGGATGTATGTTTCAGGAACATAGTAGCTTTCAACTCGACACCATTTGCCTGAAACCAAAATGATAATTACGAAAGTTACGAGATTATTTACTTCTGCAGTGAAATGTACTAAATGATTTGCCCTTTCAAACATTAACCTGAATTATCAGGTTTGTCAATCACAAAATTGTACACCGGGCTGTTAGTATTCCTTGGAAACCTTCCTATATTATTATAAATATCTAAGACAAGCACGTCTTTTAGCTAGGTAATCTATGATAAAAATCGCACTGTACAGCACTTAGAATCATTTCCCTCACTCATTATTTTTCTCAATCTGCAACTTCGCGTAGTACGCAATTATTACTATGCAGTCATACCTGGTGTCCAATTGGGAGAAGAGCATGTGATTATTTTTGTTTTAAAGGTGAATTGCGATTTCTTGTATGTCCCCTATATCGTCGAAGAAAAGCTCGAACAAATACTGAAAGTAATGAGTAAGTCACTATGAACAACAAATTCAAAGTGACAGCGATATCGAACCAAACTGAGAAGTGATTTTTAACATGAACCACCAATTCTTACTATTTTTAATTTCTGCGTTTTAATAGACTTTGACATGTTCTTGAGAAGATATTAAATCGGTTAGCGCTGTTGTTCCCTTCTAAATTATTTTGGCTGAATCGCCACACAGGACGCTGGTTTAACTAAAACCATGTTGGGCGACGTGGCATTTTGACTGCACAACCTGCAATTAAATTTAATTTTAACAGCTATTCGAAGCAGGAACTTTTGGATGCAGGAACGAATTAAAACTTTCTACAATGCCACTTATCCATTGCTTGTAACTGATAGACTTTGTCCTTAATCTTGCGGGAGGCCGTACGATCTGTTGTCCATTGTAGAACTTGGCAAATGTAGCGCACTCTGCCTCGAGCGCAGCAATGTGATGTTTCGATTCTCTGTCTCAGTAGCGCAGTTGTTGTGTTCAACATGGACGAATATACATCGCAGCGTGTCGTGTAGATAGCTGGAGATGCCATGTTTAGGATAAGCGCTGAATATGGACGTGCGCTAAAGCCGCTACTGAAAAAGCGCAATCGACCGTTTTTCATTGTAAGGAGGTCTTTTACACAGCTATCAGAATTTAAAGAGAGGAAGAACGTCGATCTCGCTCACCTAAGTAGCGAAGTACGCCACGAGCGGCGACGATGATCAAACACCTGGAAAATCATCGTGGTGTCCCTCTACTCTTTGGTATCATAACCAAGAGCGAGCCCTTTCGACTTGTCACTAAGTTTTACGGTTTATAAAACAAAGGCCTCGCTCTACACAAAGCCTTAAAGGAACAAACACTGGAAAAGCTTACTTGGCTTGGAATTATAAAAATTTCTAAAA